TGGTGCGGTATGTTACTGCCTCATCAGACATGTAATGGAACTAGGTATGCTTGGCGACGCTGGTGTTGACGTCGATTACGCAGTTACGTATTAGAGAAGCTCACAGTTTGTTTGTTCGCTTCAGTAGCGCAGCAGATAACATGGCTCATCAAATCCGGATGCACTGATGGCGCCGTCTCGGTGGTTGGCGGAAGGCTTATGGCAAAACTGTCCCGTTTAAACGAACAAACCAGCAGTCACATTTGAGAAGTGCAGTCGGTAAATCCCTTATGACTAACTCAGCGGATGGTGTGTATAGACATTACTCATTACTGGTGTCCAACTCTCCTTCATTATGGCATACCGAGACGGGCTTGATGTTTACTGCTTCCCCAAAAAGCACATAAGCTGCCGCATATTTCCACAGGGGGTTGGACATGTAGTGGACCGGTTTTGCTTGGTTTGGCACGCGCGTCGAACTTTGTCAGGAATCTAAGTGCTAGGGTGTCAGGAGTTTTGCGAACATTTTACGACTTTCATGGTCTTGGGGGTAACGAAGCTTGGGTCTGGAACACCAGGTGATCGAATCCACCCATATCTTCTTGGTAATTGTCAGATGCATACCTGACTGCCTTTTCAGTAATCACTAATACAGCTCTATATTTATGGCCGTTTAATTTACTTGCTGCTTCACAGAAGGCCTTCCACGAACTTGTCGCTCCGCACGGTCTAAACTCCTAAATTACAGCGCCTGAAGCCTATTAAATTGTGCTCGTCAGTTGTTTCGATCGATCGTGCTGTACTGCGCAGCTTGGTTTTTCCGTTCGAGTTGGTGATGTAACGAGAAGGCAGACAGCATGAAGTAAAATCTATTCACCTGGACTGTCGAGTGAACACTGATAGCTTTATTCAACACCCAGGGTGACGAAAATTTTCGCACCACAGCGGCTTTGATTGCAATTTCAATAGTTCCGAAACCAAAAAAGAACTAAACTGTAAGATTCAGTTTATAGAACATTGTCCCCAGTTTTTAAGAACTCCTTAATTCAAAGCATTGTGGCAAACGAGCCAGAGATAAGTGACGTGGCTTGAAATACGGTGATACGGCTATGGAGCAAATAAGCTTGCTAACACCATGGCGACTGAACCTCCGTGGTCGGCTGGATGTAATTCGAGAAGCGTAGATTGTACATCGTAGAAGGAGAAGTCGTAATCGGATAGCCTAATCTCTCACGTACACGAAAAAAAATTAGATGTAACGAAAAAATGCACATGAAGAAAGCATACAACCAGCATGAAAAAGTCCTAGAATACCTTACTGTATGTAGTCAAATAAAAGGAACAACCAGTGATAACCTGCAATCCACTTCGTGTGCTTTCTCATGGCGAGTGGTCTATGTGCACTTGTGGAGAATCGCTCACATGTTCTGTGCATAGTGAATATTTTACGCTTCACTTGCCATAAGGTGAATGTAACGTACTTAGCATGATCATTTCGCACGAACATTTCGCAAAGCGACTAACCAGACATTATACAGCTCATATTCATACACATACCAGTGAACCAATGATCGATATTGATTTTCCAGTATGACGTGGAGGGCGAATTGACTGTAAACTTGTTGACATCGAAGTGGTCCTATGCAGGCGTAAACTACCTACGCGACTAGGAATTTACCACAATTCACATAAAAGTGAGATCAAGAGGAGCACAGTAAAAACACTGAACAGATATGGATGAATTCGGTGGGTGAAAGTGAGATACACAAGAACATTGTTCTTCTCTCGTCTCTGCTTCGTTGTGGGAAGTTTGAGTTACTTTTGCCGAAAAACTAGCTAGAATGTGTCGTTCCCCGAACCGAAATCGGAGCATCACGTATTAAGGGTGACGTCGATTCACGAACCTCTCCATCAGCTGAACATACCCTAGACCCTGTACAATCTTGAATAGGAGAATAACATTGAGCGGAATTCGAATGAACTTCTTGCAGCACTTACCTTCATCTTAAGCCATTCGACCTCAGCTTGATGAAACTGGATATAATCCCGTATGTTTTTATGTAGTCTGACGCTACCTACGTACTTACTCCCCGAACTTCCGGGTGACTTCAGTCAAACAGAAACTGGAGTCATCTAATCGAGCAAGTGCCGCCTGCAGACACTCAGAAGAGTTTTTGCTATTTTATAAACTGTCATTTCAGTAAATATAGACCACCAGAATTGTCTCACTTTATGGTGAGTGACATCCTGGTAAGGCTCAACTGGCTCCATTTGAGTCTTGAGTCGCTTCCATCCACAGCTGATCACTGGTGTCATCAAGTTTTGGTTTCGTTGACGGAGGTTCTAAATGATACGTTAAACCAGGCGATCAACATCGGCCTTCACGATAATATCAACAATTTCGGCTGCCTGCAGCGCCATCCTGAACAAGGCGAGGGAGCAGAAAATTCTCCGTTAGTTTGATGTCTGCATTGTGCAGCACTTGCTCGATGTGCTACAGACTTCGTGATTAAGCGAACTCAAGCCAAAGGCGCATGGCGTACTTTTAAGGAAGAATACCAGGTTGCTCAACGTAACATTTGCTGTTCAAATAAATCATAAAAATGTGTGTTTTGAGGCTCACCAGATTTCCTACACTTCCTGTGCATGTGCTAAGCAAAAGCAGCATTTTCTGAGCGGCTGTCAAATCATATAAATTGATCAACAACGTATCTCCCCATCCTCATATTGGCGGCGATAATCATTGGTCATGGTATACTAAAGATGCGGACCCTTATCCATTATCGACGTATTAGTTAAGTTTGGCGTGAGCTCTGTTCGCGTCAGACTTCGAATACTATTGCAGGCATAGTAACCAGATGTCAAGCAAGGATCTCAAAAATGACGCACAACAACAAACAGAAGCACATCCCAATCACATACACACCCACGCACGCTGACCCAACCTGACTGTCAACTGATCACAGGGATGCACCAATCATAAGACACGCCAGCGGACCCAAATATCACTGCATTTGACTCGTATTCGGTTGATTGTAGAAATCCTTAAGATAGGTCGCCCTCGGCAACCGAAACGACGGTTTACAACAACCTATTCCACTACGCTGTGTTTTGACTTTATAATTAGTAAAAAATTTCTTATCATACACCACATGGCGCTGAATATTTTTAACACACTTCGAGCTGATTTCGACTCAGAACTCCTAAAATTTTTCAGAGGGTTACCAAACGAGCGGGAAGGAACAAGTAGCTTAACATGTTATCTAGAAGCTGAAACGCCTTCAAGATCCCATGATCGGTTTCACCCTTCTTGTGTTCACCAGGTAGGCACCGATTTTCCGTCGACCTTGTGTTCTACTTGAACACAAAGTGGACCCATTCGGACAAATACTTTCATATGCACAAGAATTTGGTTTTGATGGGAGACAAACGAATCCCCTGCAACCGACTCACCAGGCCGTTTCATTTTTCAGTCAGTACGATAACTGAGATGCCGCAGCGAGCTATAGTCGAGATTTTATCACATCATGTTCGAGTTGACGGTAATTGTGGGATTGCGCCTACCT